CACGCCTCCACTTACTCATGATACCAGGATAAGTTGTTTCCTTGCGTTTCAAAACAAATCCGAACAGAATACACGAGTTTTATCAGGAACTGAAGCTCAAGAAAGAACAACGTTATGAAACTAACTGCGGTTTTTGTGCACTATAATTTACGGCACTTGAAAAAAAGCTCTTGACTAATGACCAGTTACTCTGAGTCTCAGGAAGGGATTCAGATCAAATTAATGAGAAAAAGGATAGTGATTGTAGAAAGAAGATTTATTCTAATTTCATCTGTTATCCGTGTATCAAAATTATGTTGTCATTTTTTCAATCTTAAAACCACCTAAACATGGCATTCTATTAGTTTTGGAAGAATAATGAACTGTTTATAGCATAGCAACCTAAAACACATACAGTGACATGTTAACTTACATATGCTGGTGATTCAAAAAGAATGTTGGGATTAACAATTGAAATGGCCATAATTTCTAAGATAGATTTTTAAATATACTCACTTTGAGTACTTTGTTAACTATTGTTAAATATCATTTTTAAACAACATTATTTAACAAATACCATTAATCGCCGTGCGCTGATAAGATTCACTAAACTTACCGAATTATTTGAGATAACAGCATGGTGGCCATCGAGATTATTTGCTCGTCACGAAAACGTTGAAAATAACGAACACACAAAAGTTATATTTACTATTTTGACACTGTGAAATTTGAAAATAATCTCAGCAACAAATATCAATAATATAATCAGACATTCATATTAATCACCAATCATCGGAATCTCATCAACCTTCAGTAAACTTTGCCGTTATTGTCAACATGTCGTCATGTCAACAATATATCCAGATTAATTAAAATAGGAAGTCTTTAACTACAATAAATAAAATACCAGATTGGTAACAGATGAGGCAAATCGATCAATTTATTAATCAATGATCCATACAAGGAAGATACGTCATGCAATATGCATTAACAATCTCGGGAAACTTAATAAAACGGGATTTTTAGTGAAATATACTATTACAGAGCTAGAGAAGGATTATATGCTTCAAGATTTGATGCTTCACAATTCTAGGAAAGAGAAATCAGGTTAATCGATGATCAATATCACGAACTTTTTATTTTCGTGGAAATCTAAAATATTATTTACCAAAAGATCTCTACCCCGCGTGCAACATTTTCCAGACTCAGCCAGCTCCATCTACTCATCATCCCAAGATAAAATATTTTCTTGTGTTTCACAACAAAACGGACGGAAAAAGGGGGGTTTAATCCAAAACTAAAGTCTGTGTACAAGTGCCGTAATTATCGAGGAAATGGAACTAACTGCGTTTATATGAACTATAATTTCCGGCACTTAATCGAAAAACTTACCAAAAGCAATTTGCATGGAGAATGAAGCCGTGCTTATTTAGATTAAAATTACTCTGGCCGAAATAATCTTAAATTATGATAAATATTACAAACAACCTCACATTTAAGGTGAAAATGACCTTTACAATTACAATTCTGACAGATATAGCTAGGCTTAAAGTACTCATGAAAAATGATTAGTCAACTCTCTGTCAAATTAACACTGTTTCGACTGGTCTAGTTTATTTGTAACTGTTCAAATCAACTATAGTTTTGTTACTTGAAGTCAAGTTCGTGTCGGCCGCGCCCTGTAACCACTCTCTCAGGATAGATTTGTTAAAGAAATTGTTACAATCTTATACAGACTACAAGTTAGAGAGTGTGTCAGCAGCTCCTCCGCTGAATTTCAGAAAAATACTTGTGAAGGTAACAGAATATAGCCATCATTTCCCACATTTATTAATGCGGGCAATCAGTCAGTCCAGAATCTAGGAAATCATGCTGAAATGAACGGACAAATTACAGAAATAAAGGAGAAATGATCCACGAAATATGGCAGCAGTTCAACAGCTTCACGCTAAAACTCAAGCTAATCTAGTCAGCTTACTTTGAGTCACATCATCTAATGAAAGCTACATTATTAGATGAAAGAAAAAAATAGTATCGAGAAAATGCCCATCTAATCAAGAAACGCGTTTCACCATTTGTCTGAACAATAATTAGTAAACAATTTGTAAAATAAAAAAAGTTGGTAAAAAAGTATGCTGACTCAATAATTTCTTGGCAAATTTAGCAAAATGATGTGCTTACACCCAAGAGACAGGTATGATTTCCACGCCTGACAAGTGATTTGTTGCCAGACTGTGAACGCAGGTTTAAAAGTATTTACAACTAAAAGAATACTCTGAGTGCAACCGTTTTGATTTCGACGGTGTTAAGTTCGACAAGTGAGGTTTAAGTAGTCGCAAACCGCCCGGCTGAGACTTGATCTGTCTTGGAAACCTGCTTGGAGCCCGTGAAACCTGTCACTCAAAGATGTGACAACTGTCAATAGGGTGTTTATAAACATGCGACGACAGTAACGCCTTTTATTACTCTTTTGTGGTTCTCCAAAGTTTCGACTGGGAGTATGATCTGGTCAGTCTAAACCGTTGCCAGATTGACAGCTTGGTCTAACGGACTTTAAATACTGTCTATAAATACAAAGGATCTCCACCATGTTAACCCCCCCCCCTCCTTCTATGACACATGGAACGATTCTTTTGTTTAGTATCTGGATAAAGGAGCGAATTTCATATGGATCATAACTGATCATAAATATGGATGAGTAAAGAGTATTGATAAATCTAACATCATTACTCACTATCATTATTATTCAACAATAAAGGTGCTAATAACTAAGCATACAAGGGACACAGTGAATAATACTATTAATCAAAATCAACAACACCCTCTACTTCAGAGTAGACTAACCCTGTACAGGAAGGGGACCAAGCGGTCAAAGCTAAAGAGACAACATTCTACATAGCACATAGCTGCTCTAGGAATATGAGGGTGGGAAGGATATTGGTAGATCTAGAATTATTGTTCAACATCGTAATTACATTTGCTCCACAATGGAGGTTATTAGTAATTAGTGAGGTACTGATTAGCATAAAAGGTCGAGCTGGGACCCAGTGCAAAATCAACATTTCTCTATGGTCCAGTGAACAAGTATTTGATAATCTCACAAGAGGAAGGTAATGAAGCAAGGCAGACAGATATCTGTCTCTCTGAGAGTTGCTCTAGGACATACTTGGGAGTAGGGAGGATCACTCACACGAATTATATTTAACAAACAAGTGTGATACTAGAAGTGCACCGGAATATTCGAATGTTACTTAGAGCTGACAAGGACCGCCTCATTGTGTCAATGAAACTTGAAAAGGAAAATGTTAAAAATCGGGAAAAGGAAATGTACAGTATGTCAAACCAACAAAGTCCCCAGTGAAACATTTTCACAGCGTCACTTGAGTTGCGGCATTTCTGCTCCGTCGAGAACACAATACAATCGAAGTCGAACCGCGAAATTCGCGGCAACTTTTAATTTTGTCATTTTAGGCACTAGTTTCGATTGAAATGGTCTGAGAATTCCAAATTTTGCAGTAAAGTAAAACTTATTTCATAATTGTTATACTTATAAAAAATACCTGCATATTGTTGAATATGTATAGTGTGTATATTACTGTATTGTGACCAGTATCTCATGATGCTTTTATAACATAAGATAAGCCTAATTATAGCATTAGCAAATGCAAGAGGGTAATTATCAGTATCATCATTACGATTATTTTGAAATCACAGATTAATACATGATAGTTAATATAACATAATATTACATAATATAACATAATATTACATAATATAACATAATATTACATGTATTCTGTGTAAAAATTATCTTTATCCCGGTTGTTGCGACAAGTAAAAATGCTCTTATTAGGGAAAGGAGATTACTCGACGTTTCAATGTAACTACATCGTATTCATGATCTCAAATTATTTGTTATATAGTAGTGTTGAAAGAGCTATTGCTTCCTGAGTTCAGTAAATGACGATCTATGTTTCTGTTTTAAACAAATTTCGCAAACATGCAAAATCTACAGCAGGAACTTCCTTTTTCCTGTTTATTCAACATGTTTAATACATGTAAAAATAAGCTCATAAGCCTTTGATAAGCTCAAAATAAATATAAATACATCTAGATAGATTATTATTTGAATATTAGTTGAGTATTTTGCAACGTTGGAAAATCACATACTCTGATATAATAGATAGAAATTTACCAAGCTTATAATTTAAATATTACATTAGTCTTTGTTACCTTACCTTTGTTACAAATATGTCGTTCTACGTTATGTATATCATTTTATGAGGATTAAAGACATTGTTGAAGGCTTTAATAATTATACCAAAGCAGCTAGAATATTCAAACATCATTTGAAATCAGACGCAACTATGCATATGGTAGAGTTCACCAGAGTTCACCGGAATTCATCAGAATGACTAGTCTCATCGAACAGAAATATTATTCTCAGTTATAGCGCATACAATTTTACTATCATTACGTTTGTCACGTTTCGAATCTTCCATTCTTTTAAGTAAAAGAATGGAAAACTGGAAACATGACAAACGTAGTGATAGTAAAATGGTATGCAAGATAACTGAGAATAATATTTCTGTTTGAAAAGACTATTTATACTGTAGTAAAGCATTGTAGATCTTTGTGCTCTGCCCGTGCTATGGTATCATTAACGTTTGAGTTAAAATTACAAGCATTTTACTTGCTACATTTTTGAGATTTGACTGTTTCACTCCCTCCAGAGTATAATATAGTATGATTGTAAATTAATTTTGTAAATATGTTAATTTTGTAAATATGTTAATTTCGAAGACGTTCCTTTGATATATTGTACTGGAACAACAGTCTTCATATAATGAGTAGGACAAAGGCAAAGAATTTCCACATTTCAAAATATGTTCAGAAAAAAATTCACAAATTGTTTCTATTTCATCTTTTGCATTTTGGGTTACGGTAATACAATTTTTAATTAATCTTTTACTCTGAAAGTTAACAGTTGCTATGTCGGTGCGGGCCCAAAGACAATTGTCTTGTCCTGAATGTGGGGATTTGATACTGATGAGGCATGATGAGGATCCTTTGATGAATGTAAATTTAAGTGTTACATTTCAGACGTTTCAATTGTATAAATAGTTTTTATCGGTGAATTGAACCCTTTCTAGTCCGAGCGTAATAAAAATAATAATATCTTCTTCAGGTGAACTTGCATATAAACGAAGAGTGCAAGAAATCGAGTGGAGGTCAAAACAAGAAACCACACCTTCATTCTGCACCAGTAAATTACGAGATGCAAAAGCAGAGGTTTCGTTACAAACAAAGTGCTACCGGAAATGGTTTAAATGGTAGAGATTTCCTCAGTTCAGGTCAACAAAAAGTGTCACAACATAATCTGAGGTAATTTTATATCAGCTAAAATCAAGAAATTGTGAATATCTCATGCATGAACCATGTTTTACTTAAGTTATTGTGCAATCTTTAATAAGCTAAAAAACATTAGTACAGATAGACGCAGTTCACGAGGGGAAATAACAGATTTCTACCAAGCATTGGAGATTGGGGAAGAAGAAGCAACAGCTGATGAACTACGAGAATCTCTCAATTTTTTCCTGAAACGTCCACCAGTTAACAGACCACATAAGATTGTAGTAAGGAATCAGCCACCTGAAAAGACAGCACTAGATTGCCAGGTACGGTAGTGGACCTTCTCCTTTTAGGGTTCAAAACATTTTGGCCAATAATTCTATTTTACAATAGTGTCTATTTTACAATAGTGTCTATTTTATAGAGGAATGATAAATCAATGGCCAATAATTCTATTAACGTGTCTATTTTATAGAGGAATGATAAATTAATGGCCAATAATTCTTTTAACGTGTCTATTTTATAGAGGAATGATAAATCAATGGCCAATAATTCTATTAACGTATCTATTTTATAGAGGAATGATAAATCAATCCCATCATTTATTGCAGGTTAACGTGCATATGAACTACATGAAAGTAAAGACACGATCTGAAAGAAACACCCAGCCACCACAAGCTAGTCAGGTTGTTTACTGTGAGAACTGTAAACATGGCTTCTGTTTTGTACATCGGGTGAGAGACTTACTCAAGCTATCAGGATCCAACAATCAGAGGTAGGTAAACCATTAGGGATTACAGAGAGCACTTGATTATTCAATTAATTAATTAATTCATTTCACAAACAGAAGTAATGAACTATTGATACCTGTTACTCTATAGTATGTAAACTTTATTTTGTAATTCAAGTAAACTTCACAAAGTTACATAATTTCAGAGCCCATACTTGTAGTTCACGGGGGAGAATAAGAGATTTCTACCAAGCATTGGAGATTGCGGAAGAAGAAGCAACAGCTGATGAACTACGAGAATATCCCAACTCTGTCTTGAAACGCCCACCAGTTAAAATACCACACAAGCTGTGTGGTCGATAACAGAGTACTGGAACAGAGCTATCCTAGCATCTATATTAATTTAAATTAGCAGGAACAATGTGGGAAATTGGACCCAACTCCCGATGTATTTTACTTCAGCAGTGGTGATACCACAACCTCGTTATAATGCTATAATGCTAGCTGTACTCTTAGTGGTGAACATGAAGTTACTTTCATTTGAGCCCAGCTGTCCAGTATTATTATAATATTGGGAATATATTATATGATTACTAGAAACCCGCAAGTCGAAAGCTTTGCTCGAGGAAATTTGTAAAATCAGTTTTTTATTGTGTTTATTTCTCTTTATCATCTAGCTTTGTACTGTAGAAATTATGGATTTTATTTGACAATAGTCATAGAGTGAGCGTAAATATGAGCTATAGTCATGACGTATCATAAAGCATGGCAACGCGCGTTGCTAAACTGTGCTTGCTCGCGCATGTGCAATCTCTTGCTGTTGCTATTAGCAACGGCGCAGTTAACCTTTGATGAAATTACGCCATCTTTCTGTTTTAAATTGTTCCTTACTTCCGACGTTAATTGTAACAAATCTAAAGCCGAAATCAAAATTCTAAGAATGCTATAAAACAACATTTCCTTTTTCTACAATCTACAATCTTGCTAAAAGTCGCGAGGTTTCAACTCCATTTGCGAGCTGAAATTGGTCCCTATTGCCGGGGGATTTCGTCAAGTTAAAAATATAATATAGATATCACATATTAAAACTATAACTACTATAAAGTAACGACTATATTAGAGACAAGTAGTGAGTACGATGGCGTTTGTAATAACTTAAGGGAAATTATCAACATTTTAATGTCATGTATGTAACTTTACAATTAAAATTTAAAATATTTCAATTATCTATAAATATATCGCAAGTTAAAGGGAATCGGCTACAAAAAGACAGAAGAATGCGAGCGAGGGTAGCTCTCCATTTATTAAGAGTTAATGTAATTAAGAAGCAGCATGGGAATGGTAGGCAACGTTATAAAGTTAAAGCAAGAATGACAGGTTCGGTCCAGTGCCGTCAATAGCGGGACCGGGTTGGTACGACTTATAAAAGAGCGAAAACTCGACTATTTAGTACTTAGGGTATTTAACTCCATACGGCAATTGTCGAGCACGGATTTCAACAACTACAGCCTATCAAGTATTCACTATCGATTATCGAAGTTGAGCCATTTTAGATTACACTGGGAACGAATAATTGCTCTAATTCGTTTCATAAGCAGTGTAGCAGGTGTGTATCGAGCATTCCTCCATTTCTTCATGCATATTGCAAATGCAAGCTTCCACTACCACATACAGTGTCGTCATGCAGTGTCCAATTCCAAATGGCTAGGTGGTCGAGTGTAGATCGGCAAGGAGATGGAACAAAGATAATAGAATCTTTATGACTTTTTCTGGCGTCACAGGGCCTGAAACTGCGAAGGTAAGATACGTTTTAAACTCAACAAAACTTGACTAATATCTACAACAACCGTTGTTTCACAAGGTTTAAACAGCAAAGGCATACCGGCAAAGTGGTCATCTACACGTGTCACGTACTGGCCCACTAAATACATACACATGTCGCATGTCAAAGGACAGTTGGCCTCATAAGTGGAATGTATCAGACTATCAGTATAGATGAAGATTACCATACGGACATGTACAACTTACAAGTTGCCGATTGTGACTTATATAGTTATATGTGGCATTGTACGGAAAAACGATCAAAGGAAAAAGGATCAATAATGGATGGTGTCTGGGTACCTTGCAATAAATAAATTCATGAGAACTATGATCAAATTTATAGTGTAATTGATCATATAATTCATTATTGAACCTGAAGGAGGGGTTCCTGCCCTGCATTCCGACAACCGGACAAGGATACATTGATTTTATAGCAACAACATTGCAAAACGGTGCTTTTGTTATATAGTGCGATTCGCGTCCTAAGTTGCCGTTTCTCTTGTCTTATAAAGAGACTAGGATCTCTAATGGGCTTGCTGTGACATCAGACATAGATAGACGCGAGTAAATTAGATCCACGCTCGCTATTATAATGGAAGTCACCTCTTTTCAGGGGTTTCGGGTCACCAAGAAGATGGCTAGCACAACGGTTTCCACAGTTTATTACTTCATTAGCATGCACCGACGCGGCAATCTGAACCTTTATGAACGCTTTAAAAATCGATCATGGACAAACAGATCAGAAGATATCAGACTAGCTGTTGTCGTAATACTGTAATATAGCGCGGCTGGGTGGTGGTGTGGTTTGTCGGAAAGTTCAAACCTATCGGGATTTAAGAACAAGAAATGGGCTTGTAAGCAAGTAAAGCTGGAAATATTTCATCAATAGAGTACTTTTTTCAAGCGTTGTAACAGCGAAGTGACAAATCCTAAGGAACTCAGAATGTCAAATTATACTTGCAGTTAACCTATTTACCTTCATTTAATCATTTTATTAAATAAAAAGCGAGGAAGGAAATGTATAAACTGCAAAATATAAGCTTCAATTTGTCTGATTACAGACGATTTTTCAAAAATATCGAACGGATCTAATTCATTTCGATACTTTTCTCGATTTGCCATGGACTGAAAGAATATGCACCGTTATGCGACACTCACTCACAAAACAATTAAATTACGGTGATATTGATCATACATTATAAGCAAACAACTTCAAATCTGCAGACGGAAAAAAGCGAGAGCTTTACACTTACAGAAGACAAAATTGCAACTTATTAAACCAGACGCACCATAATGGAGCATGATAAGGAGCATTAGAAAGGAGCATGATAAGGAGCATTGCATTTACAAGGGTGCATGATAAAGGAGCGCATTATTGTCACCAGTCAGTAAGGATAATAGGTGCCCTGCAGGTAGGAGGCCCTGTATAGTCCCTTATTATACGGGAGCCGGACAGGGGATAAGCCGGCAACATTAGGGCCCGCTCACATGGCAGCTAGTCGTAGATAAGCATAATTGCCGATTGTTTGCTAATACATTAACTATTTTATCATATTTTATCATATTCAATATGTTCACTGCTTTACAATACTATTATATTATCATATATACATATAATTATATCATATATATATATATATATGTTGATATAGCAACGTTGTGGTGGATGTCACATTGTCTCTAGAAATGGCGGTCTCTGTGACCGTTAGGAGTAACTTTAAAGGTAAGTTAAAATGTAGAGCTCTGATCTATGAGAATATTTCACTAAACTATACACGTTCTTTGAGAAAGAAACTGGATAAGAATATCTCTCTAAACTACGTGTTTTTGAGAAAGTATCGTTTAGGTAAGAACATCTAGTCATCTACGTAACAGGGTATAATGAGACTCATGAGGGAGACAGCTAACATAATGTATGTCATAATTGGTTCATTATATCCTCCGCACGCATTTGACGCGGGTATAACCTGTGAGTTAGTTATAATTGTTTCAATTACATACTGGGTTCCGTATCTGAGGCTATTGAACCGTGATCTTGTTGTAGAGGTACACAAACTTACATTAACTTACATAGCATAATGGGCGATAAGCAGTAGGTTGTAATTAACGAGTGCACATGTAAGATTGTAAGGGAATGTTCATTATCAACGAATAGATTAGATTTGTAGCTGACTTTCAGCAGCTGTGATCACGTGACTAAGAGTTTTAGACCTTGTACAGCGCCATTTGTTTAAGTTGTTAGCACTTTATAAGCAGTAAGCACATCATTTTATACGTCATTAAATCTAGTATATATCCGCTCATTTACCCAACCCGTAATATCTCCGTTTATCGTTTGCATCAGATTTCCGACTGAAATCAAGGACCCAGAGATAAACTTTATATCTCCTACTCCTTCATTTCAGTCGGAAATGAACTGTGCTAGAACTACGAATAGTTGTAATTGGATCACTAAACCTTTGCTCGGTTTTCATGGTATCAACATTAATTGTCAGCGGCACGCTAAGGAGAAAAATATTCTACAGAATCATGAACCAAATGGAAGTATTGCTGTAAATAACCATGAAGACCGAGCAAACGTTTACTGATCCAATTAAGACTATCCTTACTTCATTACTTCAACTTCAAGTTCAGTAGAGCAGGAAACCAATAAAAAACTAATGCTCAGTCATAAAATTAAAATATCATCATAGCTAGTTACCTTCATCATTCATCAATATCAATTAAATGATATCAATTAAATGATATCAACTAAATGATATCAAAATGATATTAATTAAAATGATTTGAGAAGGTAACTATAATGTTCCTATTCTTGGAATTTATAAATCAATGTTTCGAGGTGTCTAAAATTAAAAATGTCAAATGCTTATAGAGTTCGCCTCAGTTTGAAGAGGTGCGTAACTTAAGAAAAATCAACAGGCATGAAGACAAAAACCACTAACAAATTACAGAATTCTCACCAACGATGAAAATTACGTAATTAATAGGAATTACCGCGGTACAATAACAGGCATTAAGTAAGAACAAGACGAACAAGTGACGTAGTTCCTCATTAGTTCGCAGCATGTTGAATTAAAACAATATCATTACCGAGTTACTAATTACTAATTGATTATTCGAATATTCGTTATTTATTTTATTTATATGCCAGATTGCAACCGTTAGTTAGGCCATTTTCCTCACAAGCCCGCTACATAGTGACTTTTTACTTTTTAGCACAGCCTTGCATCTAATATATAATTTTAAGACGTTAAGAAGTGAGTCAAATAGTTGTTTGGTTCGGAGTTGGCCGGACCGGTCGCTGTGATTGTCGTTTCACTGCTTATTTTGGTAGTAGAGGTCGAAAACAGTGGATTTTTAATTTTAAGACATTTTCACAGATGAATCGCAAGGCCAAGTTCTATACACAGCTACAGTGCATAAATTCAACTTGAATCAGTGAAATAGACAGCTGTAGTCTGTAGAATGTACTTGTAGATGGCATGTGATTTATGTGAAGTTATATGAACAATGCGGTAAAACATAAGGTATGTGTGACTTTGTGGAAAATACGGTAAAACTGATAGCGACGACAATAGGACGAAACATCTGCCGTATAGAATGTAACCGGATTATACAGAACCACTATTTTATCACAATCACACGAATGCTCCAGCAAACAATGCAAGCAATGGAAACTTTACAGCGAAGGATACAGAGGGTTCATCAGAAGATTAACAGAGATTCCTGGCAACATACCAGGAGTTCCTGAGGACATGCCACCTATAATACAACTAATTATCACCTAGAACAGACACATTACCACGAGCTTACCACTGCCCAGGAGGGGTGCAGGACAGACTAACTACCATGATAGTTAGGGAGATATACC